TGCTGCTCCCGTGTCCCTTCACCAGATAAGCCTCTGAATGGATTAGCGCAGGGAAACAGCTGAGAACAGCGCCGACCCTTAGCAAGTGCTCAGTGGATGATAACTGCTGTACTCGTGCTAGGGGCTGGGTCACAATGGTCTCTGCCTTTATGGACCTTGCGATTTACTGTATCTACCTCTCCTAAGCCACTGTCTACATTTCATCACCACATCTAGTTAGCAGAGCTTGGTTTCTCTTTGTTATACAGATTGATGAGTAGGACAGGGTGGAATGCGGTGGGTTACTGATATTCAGCCTGTATCGACTCCATCTCTGGAAAACTAAGTGCTCCCAGGTCACTATCACCTATGATACCCTGTCACTGGGAAACAGGCCCTGGATGTGCAGTGGCAGCAGGTTCCTGATGCAGCAGTGGGCTGTGGTTCACTTTTCCACTGTTTGATTCTATTAGACAACAGGGAAGAGGTGGGCTTTGCCCCTTGCTTTAAGACATCACCATGAGACATACCCTGAAACCTGAAATCCCCAGAGGATTACTGAATTCTACTGTTTCTTATTCCCAAAGAGAAGTGTGCCCTAAGTATGATATCACTTAACAGTACCAATCTTTGAAGTATGCCACAGGAAATAATAGTAAGAAAAAATGGTAAGAAAAAAATTTGTGCAAATATCAGAAGGCGTTCTCTTTAGCAGACAGTGAATCTTGGCATGATGATGAAATATCCATGTTTTTATCCAAAGTCTAGCTTATTCTGTTAGACCCTTCATGTTCCTATTCCTTTTTTTTTTTTTTAAGATTTTTATTGGGGAATTGAGGGATAGGAACAGTGCTGGAGAATTGGGGGAAGGTGAACAGACAAGTTGCTGTCCTTTTGTTCTTCAGTCTAGTTGTGGAGGATGTTGCTTCACTGGCCCAAATTGGCACCATCATTGTACTCTTCCTAGGTGAGGCAGATCAGTCACTGGCTTCTGGACGGCCGCTCACTGTGGCTGCTGGCCGCTCACGCTGGCTGCTGGCTACACACGGTAGCCCATGGCAACCTACTGCAGCAGGGGTTGCAACCTACGCCATCGCAGGTGACTCACGGCAGCCCAGCTCCAAGTTGAGCTGTTTGTTGTTCAGCATCTTAGCTGTGGAGGGCAGTGTCACTGGCCCTCATATGTGGGATCTGAACCGGGGCCCTCTGGCGTCCCAAGCCAGCTCTTAACCAATGCTCCACTCGGCCGGCCCATGTTCCTATTCTTTAAACAATCTTTGACCTAGTCACATTGTTGTTCAAGTTCACTGAAATGATTCCCATCTCTCTCAATACATGTAAGTTCTCATCAGTTTTTCTCACCAAGTTTATCATCTTTGGTCCAGGGGAAATGGTTTCTGACAGCATCTAGAGGTCACAGTGAAAAGAAGTCCACTGCTGAGTCAGGTGTGCATGTCAGCGTGCCCTCCCCCATCTGGGAGAGGCAGCATCTGCACAGCAAGTCTAGCCAATGCTACAAAAGGCAGACAACAGTGAGAGTCCGTAAGGCCACAAAGAGCTTCAGAATCATCATAAAAATGAGGATTGTAATGACTGCCAACACATACAGAGCTCTGACCCCGTGCCAGGCGCTGTTCTAAGTGCTTTGTATCCACTTGGCCCTTTAAATTGCTACCATCCCCACTGTGTGTGTGTTACGTGCTGTGGAGTCAGCTCTGAGTCCTGGAGACCCTGCGAATGAGTGACGTCCACGGTGTCCTGTCCTCATAGCCCTGCTCTGCTCCTGTACAGAACAGCTCCTACAGAGCTCACCTCCAGTCTGCAGAAATCGAATCTGAGGCATGATGAGGTTACAGGGCTTGTCCCAGGTCACAGCACAGTGGGGTTCAAGCCCAGGCAGTGTGGCTCCAGAAACCATGCTCTCAACTGCCACTCTATACTGAATCGTGAAAACAACGGGACACCTATGCCCAGTGGCCAGAGGAGATGCAGAAACGAAGATGAGAGTAAACTGTTGTGAGTACCTGGGGTCAGAAAGAAGATGGCCAAGACTCAGGCTAAAGGAAGTGAACTAACAGTTCCTACACTTAGAGCTGGTCCTGTTTGGAATATGTGACTCCAGTGTTTCCACCTGTCCCATCAGAGAATGAATGCTGAGGACCTTGTTGTTTAGGGGAAGTGGGGTTGCTCCCTGAGTTGAACCCCACAGCATTAGAATTTATTTGAAATCCCCAAAGTATTCAAGTTAGTACAAACCATGGGCCTAGCCAGGCTTGTCCAGGCGTGACTTCCCCACTTCAATGGGGCCGGTATTCCCAGCTACCGAATGTTACGACAGGACGCACACTCACTGTTGGTGGGAGTGCAAAAGGAAGAAGCGTTATGGAGGACAGTGGTGGCTTTTACCAAACGAAATACACTCTTAACCATATGATCCAACAGTTGCACTCGGTATTTATCCAAAGGAACTGAAAGTGTATGTCCACACAAAAGCCTGCACATGGATGTTTACAGCAGCTATATTCACAATTGCCACAACTAAAACTTGGAAGCCACCAAGACGTCCTTCAGTAGGTGATGGATAAACAAACTGTGGTCCATCCAGACAATGGAATATTATTCAGTGCTAGAGAAAAATGAGCTATCAAGCCATGAAAAGACAGAGAGGAACCATAAATGCATATGACAAAGTGAAAGAAGCCAATCTGAAAAGGCTGCATACTGTGTGATTCCCACTATATGACATTCTGGAAAAGGCAAAACTGTGGACACAGTAAAAGGATCAGCAGTTGTCAGGGGATAGGGGATGACTAGGTGGAGCACAGGTGACTGTCAGGGCAGTGAATATATTCTCTATGTTATTACGGTCATGTCCACATAACAACGTTTCAGTCAATGACAGACTGCATATATGAGGGGTCCTGTAGATGATAACGGAGATGGAAATTTCCTATTGCCCAGTGACATGACCATGATCATGTGTTAGCACATGCATTACTCATGTGTTTGCAGTGATGCTGGTGTAAATGAACCTACTGTGCTGCCAGTCATACAAAAGGACAGCGCCTACAATTACTGTACATCTAGGTGTGTGTACGTGCACTTTGTGATGTTCGCACAAAGACGAAATCACCTAATGACATTTCTCAGAACGTGTCCCCATGGTTAAGCAGCATATGACTGTATAATGGCAGATACACGTCATTATACGTTTGTCCAAACCCACAGAATGTACAGCACCAAGAGTGAACCCAGTGTAAACTGTGGACTCTGGGTGGTGATGATGTGTCAATGTAGGTTCACTGATTGTAACCAATGTTACCACTGGGTCACTGCATGTTGACAGTGGAGGAGATTATGGTGGGATTATGGGAAATCTCTGTATCTTCTACTCAATTTTGCTATGAACCTAAAATGGCTCTAAAAAAAATAATAAAGTCCTAAAGTACAAAGAAAAAAAAAAAGGGATGTGAAGACCACAGAGAAGAGGGCAGAGAAACAGCTGGGCAGACCAGAGGCGTGGCAACTTGCTGCTCCCGTGTCCCTTCACCAGATAAGCCTCCTGCCCTCTGGTTCCTTTAATTAAGCCCCTCCTCCACCTGGGCAAAGGCAAGGGGGAAAGTATGGCTTCATGAAGAGCGCTTTCTCAGAAAGACAAACCAGTTATAACAAAATGATGGTACTTTAAGTTCTAAGATTATACATGTATTTAGATTATTATACATTTATTCAGATTATTTCCCTTTAATTGTGAATAGACTGGTGTCCTGGAGCTAAAAAAAAAAAACACACAAAAAGACTTGACTGGTGCCAAGCTTTCATTACGAAGAAGAAGAAGAAGAAGAAGAAGAGGAGGAGGAGGAGGAGGAGGAGGAGGAGGAAGAGGAAGAGGAAGAGGAAGAGGAAGAGGAAGAAGAAGAAGAAGAAGAAGAAGAAGAAGAAGGAGAAAAAAGATTGCAGGCCTGATTAGAGAAAATACTCTTTGGGAATTATTTTCTCCGAATAAGATGATAAGCAGCAGAGAATTAAGTTTGGTGGGAAAAGGAGAGGATGTAAACTAATTAATATGGTAGCTCAGGCTGATGGCAGATTACTTACATACATATTAAACACACGCTTTTGCGTAGCCTACTTTTGAGGTTTATTTAGACTCACCTTTAAAAATAATCAGTCGTTTTGTTTCATTGCACTAAACTCTGATTCAGGTTAAACTCTGACTCAGGAAACTCTGATTCCAACTGAAACTCCCCTAGTGCAAAGGCAACAGGCAAATCAGCTTTATGTGTCTTTTCCATGAAGGCTGAATGCTCTTTCCAAAACAAAAATACTACAGGGTATTCTGAAACACTAGGTTGGTCAATAGAGGCCACATTAAAGTTAAACCTCAAAACGCAAAACAGGGTTTTCTTTACAAAACAAGGGAAGAAAGGAAAGTCACCTTGAATTCCTGATTTCATTTTTCAAAATATCCATAAATAGGCTACTGACAGAATTAGGTTATGCTAATTTTGTATCCAAGTGTTTAACAAATTGTCTCAAGGTATGATATTTCACTTTCTACTCTGTGGCCTGCTCACATCACAAATTGCATGGAATATAAAAATATTGTGAACACAAGAAAATTAGGTTAAGGAACGTAAGACTAAATTTTGTTTTCCAGATAGTTGTGACACCTATTAAATGTCATATGCTTAGTTACAAATAGCTATAAAAACCCATCTGCTTAAGTTGAATCCTAGTCAATTAATGACAGAAATAGCCCAGGAGGCTGAGCCGGGAGAAGGCTTACACTGGATGGCTCGGAGCCGAGGGATCACCGTGGGGCTGCTGGGGGGGCTGGAGCTGCTGCTGTTCAGACTTCTCCGTTTGTCCAAGTTGGGAGAGGCCTGCACGGTTATTTTGTGCTGGAAATCTGTTAGATGCGAAAAAAAAAAGTAAGAATTGGGATTGCACAGTTTTAAGTTATTTTCACAGCCATGTCTTTAGCACACAGCAATAAAAGCAAAATTTGCCAGACAGTAAGAATGAAGAATATCTCAGAGTCTGTTTCTTATTTATCTTCTATTCAGGGTTCAAGTCAATAAATAATGACTCAGAGTCCATATGTTAGAGGGAGGGTGGGAAGGAGGGAGGGA